AATTTTGCCTGCGGGAAAAGTTATCATACGGTAGATGTGATCGGAAAGATGCAAGACAACGAGAACATAAACAGAGGTCGGAGGGCTTAAAAAGTTTCAAATGCGATTTTCGTTAAAAAGAGAAGCTCTAGTAGTAGTACTGCAAGAAAACAAAGGAATGCATCCACAGAATCAACCTGAAGGACAGAAAAAAACGGAGTGCAACCGAGTGATAGATTTAGCAAGAGGCGGGCGTGCGTGGGGAAACTTCAGTTTAAAAAGACGCACAGAGATATGCGATTAGAAAGATTAAATTCAATGTACTCGGCATCCAGAAATGCCTTTTTTCATGGGCAGTCACGGGTATTCGCGACGAAAGGGAGGGCGAGGACGCGGAGTATTGCACCAGTCTATTCGGAGGCCTTCTTCGCCTTGGAGGGCTGGGAGGATGTTGACACACCTCCAGCCGAATCAAGGTTTATCTCGTAGGCAAACTCTACTGCACTGGGTTTTTTCTCGGGTGTAGTACTCGGAGTGAGGTAAGGCAGCAGGCAGAAGATGACCAGTGGTGCAATATGCCCCAGGAAGTAGAAATTTCTGAAATATCGAAGAGAGGAAGACGAACAATGAGAGACTATGATCAGTTCAGGGTTAAATAAAAAAAATTAAATTGATAAGAACAATGATTGTCCTTTCGTAATAGACTGAGTCAGATAATAGAAAACGAAGTCAGTTAACAGAACTACAAGAAACAGAACGTCCGCCCTCATCGTCTAGTATCCAGGTCAAAGTCTGGGTATTGAGAGTGGATTCTCGTGAAAAACACGATAAACTGGAGCCAAGTATTCATTCGAACGGAATACTTTCCTTCTTTTTAGGCTCATCGTACACCAAGGGACAGCAAGCTGCATTTTACCACTTCTGCTCGATCAGGCTGCACATTCAGGAGAAAATCACTGTTTTCCCGAAGTCCTCAGGAAACTATCAGAACCGTAAGGCAAATCTTCAGCGGGAAAACATCTGAACAAGACGCGATCTTTACGGTCACCAAATTATGACCCACTTGCCCACGCACTTCTAGGAGATATGGCGCCAAAGACAAGTCCCCCAGTACTTTAAAGACGCAATAATCATCAAATTCTACGAGCGAAAGGGGAGCCACCAACTCTGTAGAATTTCGCTGCTCTATATCGCAGGAAAAATTTTCGTTCGTGTTCTCCTAAGCCGCCTCAAGAACCACCTGGAGCAAGGTCTCCTGCAGGAAAGCCAGTGTAGTTTT